AGCCATTCTGCTCAGCATATGTTTTTTTACTCCTTGTTTTTTTTATTTAACCAGGGATGTGGGAGCACTAGCCTGGAATGTATCAAGCAATCCTTTTCCCATACTGGTGTATACCAGCCTCTCTTGTATTGCTCCCTTGGGAGGATCCATCCCCTTCTTTGACATGGAGGTCAATTGAGGGATTTTTACATAGACCTGGATGAATTTCTGAATCCAGAACCTCTATGTGCATAGCAAAAGGCTTCACATACAGCTAGCTCTGTTTCCTATCACACAGCTTCTAAGGCTTCTTTCAGTTTATTAGAGTGGTATTTTTGTAGTGGGGAACTGCCAAAATCTAAAAAGTGATCATAAAAAGATAGTTTGTTTTTTAACTACACCGCATTTTACATTGCTTGAATCATTTGACAATTTTGTCCGTTTATGGAAGTGATAAATGCAACTTTGATTAGTGAATATCATTATGTGGTGCTTAGATACATGATGCAGATCATCAACATCAGCCAAGTTAATTATTATTTTCCGTGTCAGTCGTGATTGTTTCCTTTCCGTACCAGCACAATTTTCTTTCAATTAAAGGCAGACAATGAATTCGCCTTAGCATCACCACTACCTTTTACAATAGATGCTAAGAATGTTTCTCTTCCCAAGAACAATAAATACCATCCTTGGGTACCAGCTGTTTAATGAGTAAGCTTCCATATTTAATAAATTCTATTAACAATACACCCCCATGTCACATTCTAGGTGAACGGGCCCTAATTAAAAGCACACACCATCTGCTGGTGCATGGCAGCAGGGTGGCACACCACAGCCAGCACGATCCCTGGGACTAAATATGCATTATTTATGAGCTGTGTCTGGAAAATGTCAATGATCCCATAGAAGACATCCTGGAGGCTGTTTAGCACCATCTAATGGGCACATCTGTCATTCTCCCCCTTTTATTTTTTTACAAACTAAAAATGACTGTCTTTGATGTTATCTTAATACATTGGATCAAAGATAATTGACTGGATAAACTTGAAGGAAAGATTACTCTTTGTGATCCCCCTTTTTGTTGTTTTTTTTATCAGCTGTTAGAAAATGATTGAAAATTGTATTCTCAATTACGATTTCTTTTTTTTTGTTTATTATGATTGTCAAGATATTTAACTTTTTAGCCAAACATTCCCAAATACTAACTTTTGCTACTTGGAAAAATTATAAAATTGTGTGCCAGGTGTCTATAGACTTTCTAGAGACAATCCCTTTGTAACAAAAATAGTTTCTGATTGGATCTCTGACAGTAAGGCTGACAGCTGGTATTTTGTCATGGCTCTGTCGAGAAACATCTTAAAGTAAACCTGTCTCAGACCTGAACAATCCGTTGATCATAAGAGCAAAAAAAAAGCACATAATCAGAGATAGCTTAGGTGAAAACTGCTTGTCAAAACAATCAACATATCCAAAGATAAAGGCTGTTAAATTTATAATCCAATTCTGTTGTGAAATCTGTGGGTCTACTGATTGTTTAATTATATTTTACATTTAAACTAGGTTCATTTTTGTGCTGGTGGTTGCTGCTGCAGGACTGTACTTGTCCCTGACCCTCAAGGGTCGTACAATCTAAGGTCACTAACTTATATACATACATATAATAGGGCTGATTTAGACAGGATCCAATTAACGTACCAGCATGTCTTTTGAGAAAGTGGGAGGAAACTGGAGTACCCGGAGGAAACCCACGTAGGCACAGGGAGAACATGCAAACTCCAGTCACGTGGTGCCATGGTTGGGATTCAAACCAATGATCTTAGCACTGATATATAGATATATATATCTATATATATATATATATCTATACAAATCTTTAAACAAAACCTTTTTGTTTTTATTACACACCTTATTTTAGACCCAGTGGTATCATCACTGGATCTCTGTGCATCTCTATGCAACTCAGGCAGCTCCTGTGCCTTGGTACTCTACTCAAGATCTCTCTGCCCTTTAAACCACAGTGGATAATGTCCACATGGGATGTTTAGCCTCTGTGATTGAAGAATTGAAATCCAATAAATGAAAGAGTAGGGCCAGGAATAGTGTGGCTGGGGAAGAAAGCACTAGATGATGCTGGCTGTCTGCTCGGAAATGAGGTGAGCTCTGTTTGACTTAATGCTGTTTTTAATGTATACTGTGAAAACCTTACAGTGTGCCGTGAAATGAGACAAGTATTTTCAATACAGGAGAGGAGCTTTAAACATTGATTAGTCTGAGGATTATGAAGTTCACATGGAGTGCCCCTTTAAATTGGTTATATCAGCAGAATTTTATAGGTTATAAGCAGCCATTACCTGCCATGCCAAATGCTATCTCATTGTATATTTTGAAAGTTACTATATTTCCTGATAAAAAATAAATGTGGTTTAATAACCAGCAAAGATGTGAAACATCCTTATTTCCTGTTCATTTTCAGTTTCTTTTGGATAATCTTGTGATAAAGGTTTGATCTGGTGCCATAACTGGCTGGCAGGAAACCCAATGTACAGTATTGCACAGTGTTTAGGTGGCTTGCTTCAGTTCTTGTATTGAAAGAGTGCTACAAGCAGTAACTTATTTTTTATCATCTATTAGAAGTACTGTGGTGTACTTTCAGGTGATAAGGCAAAATTAAGGGCCGGTTCATATTTGGAATTGCACAGGAACGTGCTACGTGTTCCTATGCAATTCACTTGCGGTGTGGTGCGATTTGAGCGCATGGATTTTCATCGGGTTCAAGTCGCACTGCACCGCACCAAAAGTAGTGCATGTACAACTTCTGGAAACTCACTGCAACCGCATTGCATGGTACTTCTATAAACAGAAAAAACAAATTTAACCTCTTCACGCTGGCTGAACGCAAATGTGCGGCCCTTCCGGCGTCTGGGCCTAGACGCCGAGCGGCCGCACAGTTTTCGTTCTATTAAAAAAGGACATATGTGCCGAGAGTGCGCGCCCTGCGCCCTCCCAGCACACATGTCCGATACTCACGGAAAGGTCCCGATCTCCTCTTTCGATCGGGACCTTTCGGTCACATGACTCTAAACCCCGCCCCGCCTCCCGGCTTCTGAAATTCTTAAAGGGCCGGGAGGCGCCGGCGTGAAGGGGTTAAAGTGAGCACTAAGAGAAACCAACTAAAAAGCAGCTAGTACAAATGGTGAACCCACTCCATCCACAATAAACAAAATAAATAAAGGTGCTGTGTTATGTAATAAGAAAACAACTAATATACTATCTAATGTGCTTAGCAACCACTATGTGTTATCACATCTCAAAAACCATATCAATCTTAAATAAATAATACTGAAAATCAAATAATATAAAAGTCCACAATCAAATGTCCTTCAATGCATAAAGTGCTCCTTGATAATATGACTGCATCCACAAATATTATGAACCGCAGTCATAGAGTGAGGTGACATCCATGAAGAGAAGACATCTGTGAAAATTCTCCACCACTATGCACTCACCACAAATAAAATGAACCAGGCTTCTAGCAGAAATTTCCTCCAAGGAATGTATTGTTTCTCCACAAAAAGGATAATATAAGACCTTTCAATGATGTATCCTGAAAAGAAGAGCGGCTAGACCAACACAACATGAAAGGGAACACAGCCGTACAGCTCACTCCCCTTCTGGCCCGTACAGCCAACAACACAAAAAACCAAAGCCACCTCCTGCCTTGGCGTGGGCTCTACCGTTACGTAGGAGAGAAAGTCGCGGGGATTTCAAATCCCCAGACCCATGAAGCCGCTTTTCCTCTGTGACAGCATGGGATCTGTGTAGGGAGGTTTCCTTCACCACTCCTGTATGACGAGCCTGGGTTCACACAGGAACAGTGGGGAAACCGCATGCGATTTGGACAGAAATGGCACCATATTCCTGTTCAAATTGCATGCTCTTCTTTGCTGTGCAATTTGTGTGCATACATTTTGTATTTATGCAGTTCGCACCACAAAGTGTTGATACTCTGTATCGGCAAGTACCAAACTACATAACTGACCTGATACCCAAATACTACCCTACCCGTGCCCTCCGCTCCTCACAGGTCCTCCTACTCTCTAGCTCCCTGGTCTCCTCCTCCCATGCCCGATTGCAGGACTTCTCTAGGACCTCCCCCATCCTCTGGAACTCCCTACCCCAATCCATCAGACTGTCACCTACCCTCCTCACCTTCAGGCGCACCCTGAAAACCCTCCTCTTCAGGGAAGCCTACCCCAACCTCACCTAACACCTGACCTCTCCTAACAACTAACCTCCTCCACTCCTCCCACCACTCCATCCCCCACAGCCATTTCCTACTGTACCACCTTCCCCTCCCTCCTAGACTGTAAGCTCGAAAGAGCAGGGCCCTCGAACCCCTCGTGTATTGTATTGTTACTGTCTTGTCTCATGTTCTGTCCCCCATGCTACTGTACAGCGCTGAGCATACCCTTTGGCGCTATATAAATACTGTATAATAATAATAATAATACTTGACCGATCGTATCGCTACTCATACTTGCCGATCAAAAAGGGGTATCGGTGCATCCCTACTTCTTTATAACCAAAGAGTAGGTCATGAAGGTGCAGTCTACTATAGAAGAATCTCTTTAATGGAAAAACAAAGATTTGCATTGACGTAGGTCATATAATATCCTATGCAGAGTATGATTTCCATGGTGTCTCTGACTTTTAGACTTTTGCAATGCTTGGCTTCCTGTATTCTATTGTCTCTGCCCAATTGGGCTCTCAGTTTTGCTCTATTTTGAAGATACCAAAAGAGTGACTTTGCGGTTTATGAAACACACAGGGAATGGTAGACTTGTAGAGTAGAAGCTTAAAAAATACATTCAGACTTATTGTTCTCCTCACCAAAGTGGCTTTTGGGGACCCCATTGGTTCTTTTTTTATTTGTAGTTTTTAATATATAAAAAAATGTTTTTTTCCCCTAAAATAACTATGAATTCTGGTGATACATGATATATTCTGTTTCCCTTTCTCAGAACCCATGCCACCAGAAGGATAAGAGATGCTTTCAGAGAAAAGAAGAATATTGATGATTCTCATGAAGTACAAACCCTAGTTTGCCAGGCTAAAGAAAACTTGGATATCATTCGACGACAGGTAAGACTTGGCATTCTTCATACTTGCCAAACTTTTAACAAGCATGGTTACCAAGAGGTGTTGCCCACATCATTTATCATTTTTTTGTTTTGTTTTGTAATAATAATGCTGTAGGTCAAATAACAAATGAAAATGCAGTTACTGAAATGTGATTTCCATCTTACAGTCAAGAATTGGTATAGAACAACTAGTGCGAGGGAGCCAGTGTGACAAACCACAAAACCAGACTTCATTTAGTCATTGATCATCCTATTAAGTCCGTTCTTGAAATTAATTCAGATCTTACATTTTGTTTTGCACTGTAAGTAGTTTCTTAGGAGTTGGGAAATTACAGGATCAAACACTGAGTTACTAGAATAACATTTAGAACTATATCTTTTTATATACTTTCAAGTCTGAATAAAAATGTTATCTCTGAGCTTAAAGGATAAGTTCACCTTTTGCACAAAAATAATAAATGTACATTTTTTGCAGGTAAAAAAGTGCATTTATATTTTTGGCTGCAGGAACCTGTAAAGCATTGCACCAACGATTAGCAGACCACTGGTGCCATGCAGGTCTCCTGTAGACCTGTCATCAGATCTGCTTACCCGTACAAGATGTATGGGCAAGCAGATATATTGACAGGACTATTCAATGAACTACCACGGCACTTTTCATTGAGAACTACAAGCCAAGAGCCACTAAATCTTTTGGGACTTGTTGTTCATTCATTTACAGAACACTGTGAAAATATGACAGCTAGTAGGGGTAACTTTTCCTTGTACTTCTGTCAGAGGGAGGGGGGCAGCGAGTGGCAGCTGCAGCAATGGAACATGTTACATGTTCCACCCTAAAAATAGGTGGAACATGTAATATGTTCCCAAAGGTTAACTTATCCTTTAAAGTGGTTGATAACCTCTTACATGAAATATGATCAAAACATATCCCTCTGTAGTGTGTAATTTTCTTAATCCAGAGCACTATATGTAATGTCTGTCTGCTGCCAGATAGCTATTGCTATTAGCGTGAGTCACTTCTGAGTGTCAGGAGAGGGAAGGGAGCTCCAGCACACAGCTTCTGGTTGACAGCCACAGCTCAGTTCCTATGTGCTGTCTGAAGGGGGGGGAGGTTGTCCCTTCCCTCCAATCAGCTCTCATTGAGCTCCACAGAGTGTCACTTCAGCTCCCTGTCCCTTACTTTCTGAAAGCTCAGACAAGCTCTATGAATTCCACACTTTGAATGGCTTTAGAGAACAGAAGACTGCAGATTAACAGGTACAACATATGTAGGATGATTTGTTATATCTCTGTGTATCACCTGAGTACAGTCACTTCACTAGATATATGTAACGGTTTGTGACAAAATAAAATAAATATAGCTCTGGGCCTTGCATAAAACAGTGCACTAGATACTTATAGTAGTGAAAACTTATAGTGACTTCTGCAGTTAGTATTATGTGCTATATAAACACAATGTACCATAGAAAACCTTATGTAAACCAAGCATATCACACACACATTAATTTCTAATACATAAATTGTGGTTAATATCAGAAGTGAAAAAAATGTTACAATGAACAATATAAAAGTGCCAGCGCTCCTTATGGACCTAACATCGTGCTCCACTCCACAGTGCTGCTGGTGCCCCACATAGACTATCACTCACCATATGCAGATATATCTAGTGTGGTCAGTAGCACTTGTGGGGCATTCCCCTGTTTGATCAACACTGCTCGTTTGTGCCAGAATATATGCAGCATACATGAAGGGTTCACTCAAAGGGAAGGATGACAGGAAGAGGATCTCATAGCGTAAAACTACTTCAAGAGGGAAAAAAACAACCGAAATAACTAGGCAAAGGCATTTTCCACTTGAGTGACATAACGTTAACTCTGGAAGATTTATTACTGTTAGAACAAGGTCTTACATATGCACCTACGAGAAAGACATGTTTGAAGCTTGCATACTGTAGATCTACAATTATTAGAAAATTAGGCATTAAAAAAATATAAAAAAAGAGAGAATACCAGTGTAACACTACCTACACAATTTGTACATATTGGACTTCGAAACATGTCCACTTTTAACCCAAAATCTTCCACACAATATATTGAGGTGTTCAAAAGAATGGTTGAGGAGGACACTAAATGCATGTACATAAAAAAAGGACCAAAAAGATGAAAAAAAATGGCAAGTAATCAGAGTGATAGAAAAGAGGAATATGATCTATCCAGCAGACAAAAGAGGAGTAGTTACAGTATATTAAAAAACTAAAAGGTGACCCCAGTAAGGTTCTGAAGCAACCTTTTAAAGCAGAATTCCGTGAATAACATTTTTTTTACCTGTGCAGTGGGGGCTGTGCTGGCACTGCACGGGTTAAATGCTTGTTTTGTTCTAGGAGAGAGAAGAGTTGCCCTGATTATCGGTATAAATGTGCTTGTGAGAATTGCTGGTTACCAGCTTTCCTTTCCTCAAGCTGTCACAGCACATAAGGAAAAAGACTGCCTATAAACGGCAAGTCTGTTTACACTGTGATCAGCTGTGATTGGACACAGCTGATAACATGGTAAAGGGCCGCTGTGATTGGCACTTTACCTTGCTCTGTTTTCAGCTGTGTCCATCAATCATAGCCCTCCCAGAACTAGCCGACTGGGCTGTAGCCGTCATTCAGTTATAGCGCGGCCGGAAACTGGTTAATCAAGCATATAAGGAATGAATAAACATTTAACCGATATATATTATTCCACCACTAGATATCAGCAGTATGAAAAACATAAGAGGGAGTACAATAATTGAGTTTTAAATTAATTTTTAAAGTTCAAATCTTATTTTATTAAAGGTTATGTCACTTGTACTGTATATGTATTAACAATAATGTAACGGTAGTGCAACACCACGTGTATTCAGCAATTTACGTCCCAGTGTCATTCTAATTGGAGAAACAAGGGTTAATACTCAGTAGGTATAAATCCAGTAACAAGCATGGCAGAAAACCAACTTCCTAAGAACAAACAATCAGGTTGAAACTTGTTGAAGCTTGGTTTGCACAGCCAAGACGCAATTTGCGCCAATGTCACTTCCGGGCGGTGGAACACACCCCACTTCCAGTTTTGGAGTGGGTGCAGCCGTCTTTCCCCCATATACAAAGCTGTTTACACCAGGTGCCTGTTTTTACAGTGTGAGATCTTCCTGTTGTCCTTCCCTTTAATTGAAACCTTCGTGTATGCTGCACATCTTCTGGCAAAACGGAGCTGCGTTGATGAAACAAACAAGAGATCCCTGTGCTCAAATCCCAATAGCTAGTACATGCATTTATCCATCAGGTGCTAAAGGGGTGTAACCACATATTAACACTAGAAATTCTGGAGGACCCTCTGCACACTGGTATATATCCTTTCAAGCAGAATATGCAACAAATAGGGATATTTAGTTCACACATATTGCAATACATGCTTAAGCTGGCCAACAGCGTCAAAGTAATCCCTCTATGGCCAGTACTACTCTGCTCTGCCTACGCAAGTGCTACTGTGGACACAATGCTAGCATAGGGGAAAAGACACAATGGGGGAGAGCCACAAGGTTCAGGTCTGGCTACTGATCCAACAATACAACAAACAAGAGATACCTGTGCTCAAATTTCAAAAGCTAGTGCATGCATTTATCCATCAGGTGCTAAAGGGTCCACCGTAGCATTTGCGTAGGCAGAGCAGAGTAGGACTGGCCATAGAGGGATTACTTTGACGCAGTTGGCCCAGCTTAAGCATGTATTACAATATGTGTGAACTAAATATCCCTATTTATTGCATAGTCTGCTTGAAAGGGTATATACCAGTGTGCAGAGGGCCCTTCAGAATTTCTAGCGTTGATGAAACAGGGAAATGCTCCACAAGCACTATTGACCACACTAAAGATAGTTGGTCATCGGCATTATGGTGAGTGATAGTCTATATATGGGGCACCGGCAGCACTGTGGAGTGGAGCACAATGTTATGTCGTCCTTAACCCCTTCGTGCCGGCGCCTCCTGGCCCTTTAAGAGTTTCAGAAGCTGGGAGGCTGGGCAGGGTTTAGAGTCATGTGACCTCCGTGACGTCACATGATCGAGAAAGGTCCCAATCGAAAGAGGAGATCGGGACCTTTCCGTGGGTACCGGACATGTGTGCTGGGAGCGTGCAGGGCGCGCACTCTCGACAAATATGTCGTTTTTTACTAGAACGCAAGGCCCAGACACCGGGAGGCCACACATTTTCGTTCGGCCGGCATGAAGAGGTTAAGCCTCATACACACGATGAGAATATAGGACGAATGATCGTTCGGTTTTTTTTTTGCATGCTAGTCTTATATTGAGAAAGGAGAGGTTACGAAAATTCTTGTACGACAGAATAAAAAATCCGGAAGTGATGTAATGTATGTATTGTATTGTATTTTTTACTGATTAAACAAAAATTGTACAATCTGGTATCGTAGCAGAAAAATGTCTGTGCTCGCCTCTTCAAATAATATTAGACGAAAGCTGTGTGCAAACAATCAGATTATCATATGATTGCTTCGAAAGCGATTTTCTGAGTGTGTACTAGGCCTTAGCTTCATCAAGAAGTTCAGTGTACACAGGCCCTAAAGCAGTACTGTGTTTATAGAGATATACATTCCAGTTATGTTGTAGTAGACCCCTAAAGCACAAAATAGCATGGGATGATGGAATAGGTACTGACCATGATGATGAAACTGGTGACTTTTTTGGCATTTCTGACTTGTAAAAAACAACTGCTGTAAGCCCTGACAAATGTTAAAGGAGAAGTGCAGCCAAAGCTCTTTTGGAGGTTATTCTGCACTCCTGTGACCTGTTTTCATCCATCAGCGGGCTGAAGTCACGCGACTCAACTTCAAAGTCAGGATCCATATCAAAGTCAGGATCCACTCCAGGGTCTGGAGCGGCACCTGGCTCAGCCTCTCAGCAAGCCGCTAGGAGCCTGAGCCAGCCGCTCCCTCCTCCTCCACAGCCCACCACTCCCTGTCTTGCCTTTTGGGCTTGGTGAATGACCTGGTCCTTACTGTAGCGGAGAGAACATTTCTAGGACTGTCCCTTTTTTATGCTTGAACGTCCTTTGCCATGCATTGGAAGAAACAGACATTCC